ATTACATTTATTATACTATTATATAATTATAAGTATATAATATAATGAAATATATAATATATATTATATAATTATATGTATATAATATTTTATTATTATATGTATCATAAAAGTATATATATATAATATATTAGTATATGTATACAATAATAATATATTTTATTATTTTATATTATAATAGTTATATATAATATACTATTATATAATTGTATGTATATAATTATATATTTTATTATTTTATATTATATTATAAAATAATAAAGTATATTATTATTGTATACATATAATTATATCATAGTCTTATATAATCTCTCTCTCTCTCTCACACACACATATATATGTATATATAATTTTTCTACTGTGGGAAGCCCCATCCAATATTATCTTCCTGTTATATTCCCAGAACCCAGTTTTCATTTCACAGAGTATGTTCAGAGTAGACAAAACAAACCGAATATATATACCCTTTATATGTACACACAGATAGTGTTTTATACATAGTATACATACCGCCTAAATCTATATTATTATTATCATCCGTATCTGTGTTTATCGAGCTATTTACCTAGCTATCTATACATCCTATGTATGTATAAATAAAAATAACACAGCATACATAATATGCATCTATACGTACACATACGTATTATATATTTATCTATAGATCCATATATATATATATAGAGAGAGAGAGTATCTATGTGTTTATCTACCCTTTTCCGCACTATACGTCCCATGTATGTATAAATAAAAATAACAGTATACAGAATATGTATCTAACTATACATACTATACTATATAGAGAGCATAATATATTATACTATTATATACGTATATAATAGTATAATGTATATATCTATATATACACATACGTATGTTATAGTATAATATATATTATACTATATATAGTATATGTATATTTATGTATAGATAGATGCATGTTCTGTATGCTTGTTATTTTTATTTCTACATACATGGGACTTATAGTGTGTAGATGGCTCGGTAAATAGGTAAACAATATATATAGCATTATATAGGTATATGTGTGTGTATATACATACATATATCAATTATATATGATATACATTAACTTAATATACGTTCCATGCATGTTATAGGTATACAAAAGCATTGTTTATATTACATTAATGTACGGAATATATATATCAAATTGATATAGGATATGTATTCCATACATTAATATACATACGTTTTTATATACCTAAAAAAAACCAGGAGTATTTTTTTAACCCGACTTCTTGATTCGAATTCGAAACTACCGCACAGGACAGAGATCAATAATTGAAAGAAAGTATAACACTTCAATGGAATCTGAATGTTGTTCCATTCGAGGCATTGAAGAGTCGGTGGGCCTCCTGGATGGCATAGGTTCTGGATCAGAAGCTAGAGCTGATGTGGTCTATCCAATGCAGTTTTCTGAGCCAGCACCCCAAATCACCAAACCGAATCTAAAGTTGACCAAACACTGATTCGTAACCTTTTCGGTACTAATGTTGGAGAGTGGTCCAGGGTCAAAGTGGTCCCTGGTCCAAAAAAGGTTGGGAACTACTGCTATACAACAATAATAATATGGATTTTAGGAAGAATCCGGGTTCAAGAGGAGAAAAAACCCGTTGAAATCAATACACTTCCTTGGGAGGAAAATTGGAGAGGCGGAGAAACGAAATCAGGGAAACAGTATTGCAAACTAAAGCAAAAAAGACTATTAGTATTAATTATTATTATTATTTACTAAGATATAATATAATATATATTATTATAATAAAACTATTATTTATTATTATTATTACTAATTTATTATTACTAATTTATTATTAAATATTAGTATTACTAATTTATTATTAAATATTATTATTACTAATTTATTAGTAAATATTATATAATATATTAGTAAAATAACAACTATTATCAATAATAATGATGATGATGATGATGATGATGATTATGATGTGTTGGAGAGAATAATCCAAGAGGTTTGGGGTCAAGGTTAAAATATTAGTTTTGTATATAAGGAGAGGACAAAGGGAAGGAAGGGAAAAAGGTTTGCAATCCGAATCAACCAAAGAGCAAGGTGTCCACCTAACCAGCAAGAACCGCTTTGGAAATCGCCCCAAGTCTTTAGCGAAAACGATAGGCTTGTAGAAAAGGAAAAAGCGCGTTTTATGTGTCACACCATTGAAGTATGGGATATATTGGGTTGCTGCGAGTTTTCCAGACTGTATGACTGTATTACAGCCCGGAAAACTCAAAGCAAGTCAGTGATTCCGGCCATGAAAGCCTTCGACAAGGTGTGTGTGTATATATATGTGTGTGTATGAAAGAGAGAGAACGGTTTGAGCCTCCCTCATTCCCACCCCAGTTCTTTCCATCAAGATGTATATGGAGGGTGGGTCAAAAAGTTTTGCCTCCAGGGTCCTGGAAACATTCGGAATGAACATAGAAAAGCAGAAGTTGCTCCCAGCCTGAACTATCCAAGACGCAAAACTCCCCTTGAACATAGTCACCATCCATTTGGACACAAACCAGGGTGGGTCAAAAAGTAATGCCTCCATCGCTCTCGCTTTTCTTTCTTTCCCAGCTACTGGACCATCTCTGCATGACACCATAGAGGGAACCTTTACTGATAGAGTCTATCCATCCATCTATCTATCTATTTTCAGGAGACGCTTCCTTCCTGAGAGGAGAGCAATGTGAAGAGTAGGGACATCACACTGGCATAGTTAAAGCCATGGTATTCCCCGTAGTCACCTACGGATGTGAGAGCTGGACCATAAGGAAGGCTGAGCGAAGGAAGAGAGATGCTTTGGAACTGTGGGGCTGGAGGAAAGTGCTGAGAGTGCCTTGGACTGCCAGAAGATCCAACCAGTCCATACTTGAAGAAATAAAGCCCGGCTGCTCACTGGAGGGAAGGAGACGAGAGGCCAAGATGAAGTCCTTTGGCCACATCATGAAGAGACAGGAAAGCTTAGAGAAGACAATTGTGCTGGGGAAAATGGAAGGAAAAAGGAAGGCGGGCCGACCTAGAGCAAGATGGATGGATGGTGTCCTTGAAGTGACAGGATTGACCTTGAAGGAGCTGGGGGTGGTGACGGGCCGACAATGAACAACAACAAATGGATTTTTCTATCTATTTTCCTATCTTCCTTTCTGTCTGTCTTCCTATCTATCTATCTATCTATCTATCTATCTATCTATCTATCTATCTATCTATCTATTTCTATCTATCTATCTATCTATCTATCTATCTATCTATCTATCTATCCACCCACTCATCCATCCATCTATTGATCAATCTTCCTATCTATTTTCCTATCTATCTATCTATCTATCTATCTATCTATCTATCTATCTATCTATCTATCTATCCCCTTCTCTGTAGCCTATCTATCTATCTATCTATCTATCTTCCTTTCTATCTATTTTCCTATCTATCTATCTATCTATCTATCTATCTATCTATCTATCTATCTATCTATCTATCTTTTATCTATCTATCTATCTACTATCTATCTATCTATCTATCTATCTATCATCTATCTATCTATCTATCTATCTATCTATCTATCCTCTATCTTCCAATCTCTATCTTCCTATCCAGGCCCGTAGCCAGGATTTCGTTTTGGGGGGGGGGGGGGGGTAATTTTTTTCAGGGGGGGGGGGGGGGGGGTGAGGTTCGGGGGGGGGGGGGGGCTGAGTCTGAGTGAAAGAGGGGTCTACCCTAGCAAACCTTTTGTATCATTACCCCAATACCCCCATGCATATGGGATATATTGAGTATGGTGATCAGATCATGATATGAATAAACATAACAGTTTAAATAATGCACCAGTAAGGCCTTTTCGCGAACCACCATGAATATTTGGGGGGGGGGGGGGCTGAAGCCCCCCGAGGCCCCCCCCCCCGCTACATGCCTGTTCCTATCTATCTCTATTTCCCTATCTATCAATCTATTTTCCTATCTACCTATCTGTCTTCCTATCTATCTGTTTTCCTATCTATCTCCCTATTTTCCTATCTCTATCTTCCTATCTATCTATCTATCTATCTATTTTCCTATCTCTATCTCCCTATCTATCTCCCTATCTATTTTCCTATCTATCTATCTATCTGTCTGTCTGTCTGTCTGTCTGTCTGTTTTCCTATCTCCCTATCTATTTTCTATCTATCTATCTATCTATCTATCTATCTATCTATCTATCTATCTATCTATCTATCTATCTATCTATCTATCTATCTATCTATTTTTCTATCTATCTATCTATCTATCTATCTATCTATCTATTTTCCTATCTATCTATCTATCTATCTATCTATCTATCTATCTATCTATCTATCTATCTATCTATCTATCTATCCATCCATCCATCCATCCATCCATCCATCCATCCATCCATCCATCCATCCATCCACTCATCCATCTATCTATCTTACTGTTTGTCTGTCTGTCTGTCTGTCTGTCTGTCTGTCTGTCTGTCTGTCTGTCTGTCTGTCTGTCTGTCTGTCTGTCTGTCTATCTACTTACTTACCTACCTACAAGACTTTATTCAGCTTCTCCGAAAGGGAAGGTCACACTCGCCTGGAATCTGACATGAAATCCGATTTAAGAAAAGGGCCATGGCCACACATCCGGGAAAACGCGCAGCAAGCCCGTCTCTTCCTTCTCCCCACTCCCTCCTTCCCTCCCTCACTCACCTGAGTCATCAAGCCAGCCTTCTCTGGGGTCCACCTTAGTTTAGCTCCAAAGTCAGCTGCGACGTCTTACAAATATAAAAACAAAAAAATTCCCCTCCTGGTTTGCAATGGGGTAAAAGTGGCTCTCTCTCCCCCCCCCTCTTTTTTTTCCAAAAAGGAAACCCCTCAAACTCACTCCCCTGCGTCACGTGACGCAGAAATTGGGAACAGAAACAACACCCAAAAGTGAAAAAAGGGGGAGTCAACTGGGGTCAGTTTGCTAATGAACCCTTTTTTTCCCTCCCCAGACTTTACAATCTATTGATGAATATAAATCCGAAGCTGTTTGGGGTCTGGGCCCTGAAAGAGAAGGAACGGGGGAGAGAGAAAAGGAGGAGAGTGGAAGGAAAGAATGAATAAAGGAGGAGAGTGGAAGGAAGGCCAGAGCATCCCTGGGAAAGGTATTTCGGGAAGTTGTTGGCCTGTGGCTTCTAGAATGAGGGACAGGAAGGGGAGCCAAACACGGGTCTTGAACGTGGGAATGCCCCTCTTTTTCCAAAGAGAAGGTCCTTCTCACCCAGGGATGGGACCAGCAAAGAAAGGCCTGGGAGGAAAGAGAAGGCCAGTTGGAGGATGCCACTCTGGCAGGCATTGAATGTTTGCCTTTTGGTTGCTGGAATCCTCTGGGAGAAAGGGCGGAATACAAATAAAGGATTATTATTATTATTATTATTATTATTATTATTATTATGCTGGGTTGTTGTTGTTTTTGGAGTCTCTCAGTCCAGGTTGGCCTACTTTCAGAAAAAGCGTTGAAGAATCAATCTGTGAATATAGAAGGCAGTCAACGCTGGAGAATGGAAGGGGAAATTTAAGATTACATTGTGTGTATTATATTATATTATATTGTATTGATATATATATGTTATATTATTATATATTATTATATTTACTAATTATATATTATATATTATATATAATTATATTATATATTTTATATATTATAATATATATTAATAATATATATTATATATTATAATATTTGTATTATTATATAATTATATTAATATATAATAATTATATTATTAATATAATATATATATAATATTATAATTAAATATATATTATATATATATATTTTATATATGATATAATTTATAATATATATATTAAAAATTAATATATATAATATATAATAACAATATATAATAAATAATTATATATTATATTATATATGTTTTTTTATATATATATATATATATATATATATATATATATATATAGTCGAAGGCGAAATCTCAGGAGAAGATGCTTCCGGAACATGGCCATACAGCCTGGAAAACACACAACAACCTATTTATTTATTTATTTATAAAAAAATTCATATTATATACAATCTAACAGTAAATAAACATCAAAAACTTCTTCGATCATATTTCTTATCATTATTTTTAAATTTCCATTACAACTCGTGCAACATATAACTCTATCACACACCTTTTATCCAGTTATACAACAACCTATTTAGATATGTATTATATTGTATGATACAATATATAGTATAATATAATCATATAATATATAATAATATAGAATTATAGAATTATTATATAGAATTGTTATATATAACATATTATATAATATATTGTAATATTATAATTTTATATTATATTATGTATGATAGATATTTATATATATATATGTAACTATAGAATAAAGATATATTATATATTATTATAATATATAATAATATACTATCATAATATATTAATATATACTATAATTATATGTTATAATATATTATATATTTCTATATGTATTTTATTATATAATACATTATGCATTTAATTTAATAATCATAATTATATTATATTATGTTTATTTTTCTATATATGTATATAATATAATAATTATAATATAGTAATATAATATTATATAGTCTTCATGTTTGGGAAATGTTTGTTGTTTTTCAAAATCCTTTTCTAGTGATTCATGTGGCAGAGTTTTGATGAAGGAGAAGAAATGATAGATCACCATTCTCTTTGCTTGTTTTAACCCTCATTTTGGGGGAATGGGGATAGTTGCTTTTATTGTAATGACCTTTAGAGATGCAAAAGCCGCATATGAGATGCTACATTGGAAAGGGAGGAAAGTCAGCTTGCAATCTTCCCTAAAGAGGCCCTTTTGGAGGGCGAAGAAGACCCCAAAGCTCCTGGGCGAAGAGGGGGGAAATCCATGCTGATTTGATTCACATGTGCCCAATCCAATCTGGTTAAAATGCAACCCATCCTGGATTTCAATGGAACACATTTGCTCTATCTATCTATCTATCTATCTATCTTTCTATCTATCTATGTATCTATCTATCTATCTATCTATCTATCTATCTATCTATCTATCTATCTATCTATCATCTTCATTATTGTTGTTTTGTTGTTATATTTCTAGCCTGTCTTTCTCCCTCCCCCACTCAACTTATCAACAATTTAGAACAAAAGAAGTACAAAAATCATCATGAAAAAGTTGAAACACCATGAAAATTACATCTAAAACTCATTGATGCAACAAAGAGGAAGGCAGCCTTTTCAAAACCCTTGCAAACACCAAGCATTCCCATATTATTGGTATTTTCTTGACCAGGGTTGTTCCTCCGAGGCTGAGAGAGTGTAACAGAGCCATAGCAAATCCAGTGGGTTTTCAGAGCCCTTTCCCTACATTCTCTAGCTTTCCCCCATCTTTTCCGCTTCTATTTTCATTTGCGGGCACTGGCTTTCTTTGCTCCATGTTTTCCTCCATCTGTTGCTTTCCTGGGGGAAAAAACTTGGGCAAAAATCAAGCAGGGAGCCCAATAAAGTGGAGGGGATTGTGTTAAAGTGCAAACAGATCTCTCAAAAGGAGGCTGGGCTGAGTTCGGTACAGCCAACATAAAGGTAGGATTGGGACCTGGCCTTACATTTAACTGTTTTGGGGAACAGATGCCTGTTGTAGCCCTTCTGGCCTGACCCTGTCGATATAACTCAGAAGTTTCCTTAACCTTGGCTTATGTGTGCCATCAAGTTGCCAGTCTTATTATTATGATTATATTCACAATAATTATACCCCATGGTCCATATCCTTCCTCTGATATGCATTACCTTGGATTCACTGGCAATCTCCCATCCAAGTAGGCTGATCCTACTTAGCTTCCAAGAGAAGCCAGGATGAAATTGGAATATATTTCTAAACATACCAGAGCGAGTCAAAAAGTGTTGCCTCCTATGTCATAAAAAAACATTACGGATGGACCTATAACAGCAGAAGTTGCTCCAGATACTAGCCTGAACTGTCTTCTACATGAAACTACCGTATTCCTAAATACCAGGGTGGGTCAAAAAGTTTTGCCTCCTGTATCATAAAACACTTCAAATTTATATATTTATTTACTTACTATATTTGTATACCACTCTTCTCAGCCCTGGGGCAACTCAGAGTGGTCAACAATAGCAAAATTCAATGCTCAAAAACATCATAAAATAGTTTAAAAAATTAAAAACAGTAGCATAATAAACAGTCAATATAAATCAATAAAACCTATAATAAGCAGACGTTGCTCCAGATAATAGCCTGAACTGTCCACTACCCAAAACCACCATATTCCTAAATACCAGGGTGGGTCAAAAAGTTTTGCCTCCTGTGTCATAAAAATATTATAAACTAGTTGTCCCCTGCCACACGTTGCTGTGGCCCAATCTGTGTATATGTGTTTTGTGTGTGTTTATATGCATATATGTGTGTGTATATATTTGTGTATATGTGTATATATCTGGTTTTGCGCATGCGTTGTAATGTATTTTTTATTTTGTGTATGTATGTGTATGTGTATATTTGTGTTTTGTGTATATGTGTGTTTGCGTATACACGTGTGGTTTTGAGCATGCGGTGTAATATAATTTTTGGGGTTTTTTTGGCTTTTAAGTGTCTTCTGCTGTGTTTTTCAGTGTTTTGATGAGTGATGATCGCTCGTTGGCCTGATAGGTGTATTGTGTCCAAATTTGGCATCAAATCGTCCAGTGGTTTTTGAGTTATGTTAATCCCACAAACTAACATTACATTTTTATTTATATAGATGAACCTATAACAGCAGAAGTTGCTCCAGATCAGAGACTGAACTGTCTTTGATACAAAACTACCATTCAACATAGTCACCATCAATTTGGACACATTTGCACCGTCATTTAACACAGGCATCCAAACAATTTGGGAAAAATTCAGGGTTTTTCTTTACGACCCATGATTTTAAAGGTGTCTGAACGTCATTCAAGTCATTGAATCTGAAACCATGTAAGCTGTCTTTCAGAGGTCCAAACAGGTTAAATAAAGTCAGAAGGGACCAAATCAGAAATATTATTCAAGCAATTATGGATCTAGGTTCTTGTGGGTTTTTTCGGGCTATAGGGCCATGTTCTAGAGGCATTTCTCCTGACGTTTCGCCTGCATCTATGGCAAGCATCCTCAGAGGTAGTGAGGTGAATCTCCTTCTTTGGCTAGATCTCCTTCTTTGGCTAGAAATTCAATGACGACTCTTTCTTTGAGCTTCAGATTCATGTTTCTAATCAGTCAATGTGATCAAGAAAAGACTCTTATCAGTCGAGTAAGGTTCCCTCTGTCATATCATGCAGAGACAGTCCAGTAGTAGGGAAAGAAAGAAAAGTTAGAGCGTTGGAGGCATTACTTTTTGACCCACCAGCATAAATGGGAATGGGACTTCCAGGGTTAAATCCGAAAGGTTTATTCCGAACCAAGTCCCAAGGGCCTGACTTCCAGGTAATTCAGACCTAGGCATATTTAGTTTCTTATGTAAAGTCCTATAAAGCCCCCTTTTAAGGGCAGCAGCCTTAGACCTTGCAAAGTTGATTTTATTTTACTCCCAGAATGGCACAAAACCAAGAGAGTTCAATCTCCAGGACTCTTAGGCCTAAAACTCACCATCATTCTTTATTGTGTGCTGTTCTTTATTCCTATTCAGACAACAGTTTTGTTGCTCGGGACTTTGGAAACAAAATTAGGAAGAGGAGGGAGGGGGGAGTCATAAGGAGGTTTCCTAAAAATTGTGAAACATGACCCCTTCTTCCTCCGTGACAGCCTCCCAAAGATATACAGCCATTCATCTTGGAGCAATTAACATCGCTTATCATTAAGGGAGCATTACCAGGCCTTTGAACTTGGTCTGCCCGACACCGGGTTTTGAAAGTTATACATTTCAAGCTTTACACAATAAATTTCCTTTGTAGAAAGAGCGAGGTGCGTGCATGTCTGTGTATGTCAAAAGCAGAACAGGTTATGAATGTGATTCCCACCATCTGATCAAGGCCTCCCTCAATGTTGTTACTACACTTAAATACTCACTAACACTAAATAGTGGTTTGAGCACTGAACTGTGAGGATTGGAGTACAAATCCCTGCCTGGATATGGAAACCTGTT